AGGCTGATTTCCACGAGGTGAATTTCGCAGCGAAATCGCTGGCAAACGTATCGAGGCATGCGCAGTCCTGAATATTGATTTTGCAGCAAATTCGCAAGAAAGTAGGAAAGAGTTCTACTTTTTCGCGGCGAAACAATTTCTCAAGTAGTGATAGCCAATCAGAGCGCGGCAAAGTTGATTCATTTCTGAGAAACCGTAGATCAACATGGCGTCGAACGATCAATTCAACTTTTCTCTGGGAGCCCAAAACACAGATGTCCTTTCGGCATTGATTTCCCTGCATCAGCAAGCGCAGAGTGGTGGGTATCAAGTTCCAATCGGTGGAAGTATTGACCAACAACAGGAGCAGCAGTCTCCGTTGCAAGAAGGAAGTGCAGAAAAGGTAGGCCATTTTAATAAGTCATAAAAACTTACAATGCACGATGACTAACACTCTTAAAGGGGACCATTATGGAAAAAAGGTCAGTTTGACCTTGATATGCTATCGCTGCGGCTGAAATTAAGGGTTTTTATCTTTGTTTTTTATTTGTATTATTGTAATTTGTTCTTTTTAACTTTTCTAACTGGTAAATATGATTAATCAAGGTCTACTAGGGGTTTTCGGAAACAAGGGAACATGGCAACAAATTGTACAGGAATACCTAACCAATTCAAATTTTCCTCTAGGAACATGGGAACATAATTACTAGTTAAAGGGAAGAAGGGAGCTTTTTTTCTATTTTTCAACAGAAATACAGGAACATTAATTGTTTTTCTCAAAGGGAACACGGGCCTTGCCCCCCCAAAAACTTAAGTATTATAAGTAAAATACTGTTATTTTGTAAAATATAGCTATTGTTCACTTGTTTATCAGGGCTGCCCCCCCCCCCCAAACAGATAGTTGTATCTCGGTCTTGCATGCATACATGTACAGTGACCCTAATTGTTTTCTCTGATTCATTTTCTTAAAACACCATGTTCAAACAATTCATGTTCCAGACTTAGCAAAATATTGACCCCTTGGTCAGAGATATTATGAATGCATAAGAGGATTATAAATTTCATTTTTTGGGTCTGCTAAGAAACCCACCAATAACTTAGAATTAGTTCACATACTACTTAGAATATGTGGTCTGAAGCTTTATTTTTCTCAGTGTTGGCCAATAGATACATAATGTATTATCTCGTTAATTTCAGGAATATACAACTTTTGAGAAAGAAGCCTTTTTAGAAGCTGTACGCCCATTGCCTTGCCTTTGGAATATAAATTCCCACTCCTACAAGGACAGGACAATAAAAAATAATGCCTGGAGAAAACTTTCCTCCATGTTTAATGAAGAAGGTTAGTGAAGTAAAGGAAGTTCAATCATGTACCAAAAAGCAATTTGCTATTTATTCTTGGAGCACCACAGCTGTAAACAAACTGTGTTGGAAGATTTCTTGCAACATCATCAGATTGAATTACAAGTTTTGAGAAGCTTAGTCTTGAAAAGTGACTTATTAAATTATGTATTACATCATAATTACAGTTTAAAATTGTTTTAAGCAGCATTGAGATTCATCACTGAAATTTTTATGGCAAAAATCATAATATCAGCTATGTATTTTGATTTTAGTTCCTTTTCTACAAAAGCAGCTGAAAAATCTGAGAGACATGCTGAAAAAGTGCTTAGATAAGCGGAACCGTATGTCTAGATCTGGTGCAGCTGCTTGTGATTTGCCAAAGTGCCAGTATTTTGATCAGATGGCATTTCTTCATGAAAAGAGTGCCAACAAACCAACTGAAAGTAATTTGTCAGACTCTTTAGGAAACTCCTTTTTTGAGGATTCTGTGCTTTCACCTCCTAGCCCAGGTAGTTATGTTGAGGTTACAAAACAGACACCCAAGCCTGTCAGAAAAAGACAAAGGGAAACACAGGAAACTGCATTGACACAGTCTTTGGAAGATTGTGACAAACTATTAAAAACCGCAATGTTAGAGGAAAATGATGAGGATTCATTATACTGTCGCAGCTTAATCCCAATAATGAGGGAGTTACCAAAAAGGCAAAAAAGATTGGCTAAAATTAAGATTAGTCAACTTCTTTTTGATCTCCAATATGAGGATGAATAAAATTTCATTAAAGTACCAATGGTGGGGTCCTGGGGTGTTCTCCTTAAACAATTGTGTAATTCTGTCCTTTCAGATTTGTCATTCAGAGCTTCAAAATGGCATGCAGAACAATCTATCCCATAGACTAAAGAATAAAGATTGATGAAAGATGGACATAAACTTGATAATCAGAAGGAAACCTTTTAATTAATAATGTACTTTCAATGTAAATGTTTATTATGCTACTCTAGTTACTCTTTCCAATTGCCAATCCAGAGAACCGTCTTCTGAACAAAAATAGTTTTTAAAATCATCCCGTACTTCTGTTGCTTCCCTTGAATAATTATTTGACCCTTGTGGTGATATTGGTTGTAAGCCATCAATACTATCTTCCTTGCGCCAGTCACCAGCAGTTACACCAGATCTTGTATCCCTATCAGCATAAGATGTTGGGCAATAGCTATAGTTATCTTCATCGCTGGAGGTGCATTTCTTCATCAAATAGTTATGTAAGGCAACAACAGCCTTTGTTATTATAATCACTTTTTGTGTCTTTGCTATTATTGGTCTTCGAAACACCCTGAACCTAGTGGTAGCTATCCCAAATGTGTTTTCAATAACTCTCCTTGCCCTTGACAGCCTATAATTGAAGATTCTTTGGTCTATGGGCAAATTTTGGTTAGGATATGGCTTCATCATATGATTTTTAAACCAAATGCATCATCTGCAACAAATACATAAGGAAGTACTTGTGCTGAATTCTGGCCAAGGTTTTCAGGCTGAGGGATATTCAGTTTATTATTTTCAATGGCATAGCCAAGATTACTGTTACTATATACACTGCCATCACTTTGACGCCCAGAATCCCCAATGTCTACCAAAATAAACTCATATCGTGCATTACAAACTGCCATTAGCACAATACTATGGGTCTTCTTGTAATTAAAATAAGCTGACCCGCTATTGTGTGGAGCTTGCATCACAACATGCTTCCCATCTATAGCACCCAAGGCATGGGGGAAATTCCATTTTCTTTCAAATTCCTGTGCAGTGACCTTCCATTCCTCTTCTGTGCATGGGGGGTCAAGAAATTTTTTTGCAAGCAAGCAAGCCCATAAAGCACTGCACGTCTCTGTAATGATTCTG